AGACTTCTTTACCATTCAGGTCTTTTTTCAAAAACAGAACTACCATAAATATATAATATTTTTGTTATTTTTGATATTTCCTTTTTTGTACTTATCTCAACTTGTTAGTTAGACTCATAATGGTCTGTTCTCATGTCATCTCATTATGACCTCTTTTTCTTTGTCTGCAAGTCTCAAATTAACTGACATAGATGTTCTACATATATTTTAAGCTAAATGTGAAGTATTTCCTCATGCCCATGAGGCATTTGGAAAGTTGATAAGTTCTACTTTGAAGGACACTCTAAATGAAGTTATTAAAATTCAACACTTTGCATATTCCAATGGCAAAAAAAAACATACATCCCTGACAACACAGGACACAGGTCAGTTCAAGAAAACTTCTCAGTCTTCTTATCCATGTCCACTCAATTCCTCGTGCCAGCATTTACAAAATCAAAAAAAAAAAAAAAAAGTTGGGAAGAAGAACGCATAGGTCTGTCCAAAAGTAAAAAACCATAGCCATCTGTTGTTTGTGTTACATGGATTTTGCAACTGTCATTTCCACTATGCACGCCATTTCATCTTCACAGCAATATCACTGAAACACCCACTGAGATAAAATCACAAATATTTTGAACATACCATATGATATGTTATTTTCCAAATTAATATTTGACAAAGTCACAAAAATAACTTGTTTGGAGATTACTTTTGAGTTGCCACCTGAGAAAACATTTCAGTACATTCTGCTATATGAAAATAGTTAACCTGAAACTTGAATAACTTAAGAAATATAAAAAGAGAGGAAGCTACTCAATAATGTACCTTTTAAACGTAGGTGTATTTTGAAAAGCAGCAACTATTTGTACTTACATATCATCTTTCATAAAAAAGTCTCTCAATGTCTGTTCTATATGATTTATCCAGAATTTCTCTGAGAATCAGACCAGCAAGACTGTCCTACATCTCACAGTTGGGTATGTCCCAAAGAATTTGGCAGCTCTCAAGCTAATAACGTCTGTAACCCAATGTTACACCCCAAAAGTCATTTTTGAAACAAAAAAAAATGAAATTGCCTTTGGAAAATGATAGAAAAAGAGTTAAAAATAAGTGAGAAAACCAAGAGTTTATTTTCTCTAAGGAAATCTGAAATACAAGGTCATCTGCGCCTGCAATGAACAGACCTGTCACAAGGCTTTTACAGATACCACGAAGGGTCCTATCAAGCTTACCTTGAAAACAGTGAAAATGTTTTTATTAGAAATAGATTGAGCTTGGATAAGGATCTTTCTAATCACCCTTGGTTGGTTAATGTTGTGCAAAGTGAAAATCAAAGTTCGGAGAAGAGATGAATGAACTGAAAAAACTTGGTGTCAAGTACGTTTTTTCTTTGTCTTAAATTTTCTTAATTTCTTTAATTCTTAGGGTTAGCCATGCTGTTAGTGTATATATATGGTTCTATAAATTCATATGGGCATATACATAGGTGTACATACACTCACAAACAAGAGCTGCCCTGTCGATTTAAATCAGCTATTTCCACCTTAATCCAAATTTTCTCTTCCAGAAACAAGTCTGGGGCTTCAGTCACAGTATCTTGTATGCAGAAGTCCGTCCCAAAATCATCACCCTTAATTTAAAAAAAATGAAATTGTCAGTCTCTGCTCAGGAGAGCTAGAAGGCTGAGTTGCTATGGAGACTGAACTCCTACTCTTCTCCAGAGGATGCTTCCTTCAAGAAGTGACTGAACAGGAGAGGCTGTCCAGTACCTGTAACCTTGATCACATTACAGGATTTTGCTTTTTTGGGATGGCTTTCAAGTAAACTCTAACAAACACATAGGAGACCAGAGTGAGGGAGAAAAAGAGATAGTCTAGGCTATCTCTTGAGAAAGCAAAAGGTATCACCATCAAAGAGAAAAATCAAAACAACTCTTCCTCCCCACCAAAAAAACAGACAAACAAAAAAAACAAAAAAAAATGTATGAAACAGTATCAAAGTGTACATTACATCAGATTGAGAGGGGAAAATATAAGAGTTTCATATTGATTTGATTTATCAGATTTGTCACCTCTATTTAGTGCTTTTCTAACAGGGAGTATGCTGTGCTTGACCTATTTGCTGGAATTAACCAGGACTCCAGGAGACCATATGGAATGCCAGATGGTCTGCTATAATTTAATGCCATTTATTCTAAGTATGAAGTAAGTGATAAACATAATTAACATTCTTTTAGCTCCTTACTGGATGTCTTTTATTAGTTCCCTTTTCCTCTCCCATTTTTTTTTCTTTCGTCAGACCTCGAAAGGTAAGTTAATACCTTGTTACTGAAACACAGATGCCAGCTAATTACTGCAAGAGGCTGCAGCCTGCAAAGCAAAGAGCGCCTGCCCAGATTCTAACTTATTCACTGACCTCACTGTGATGATTAATAGGTTGAATGCTAAACTCTAATGAGGATGACAGATCTTAGATGTTCTCAGGTTACCTTAATTAGTTAGATGAGCAGTATTCATCACAGACATACGTGTCTCACTTCATTGCAAACAATGCATCTTGCACTCACATTCTTAAAGTGCGTTTCACAGTGCAGCACATCAAATGCTAAGGAATTAAGCCACCTCCAGACACAAAAACAATGGAGTGATTTCCTTCTGAAATGTTCTTCCTGATCGCTATTTCATATTCTGCCAGTGATTGTTTAAAAGGCCTATTTTTTAGGAAGTGTTTCTAGAGAAGCTATGGCTTCAAAGAATGTTTGTACAAGGCAGAGTTGCTCATTCTCAGTATTTTAAAGCCATGAGATATTAAAAAACTTTGCCTACTGTTCCTGTGCTAGTAGTAGTTACAGTCAAGGGGATAGGTGTTAATATACCGAGAATGGGTAGTAAACCATTTTATAATTTTAAAATCAATTCACAGACAAAGTTAGCAAGCTATTATTTACAATAGCGAAAGAAGTATTAAACAGAAGGCAGAAGTACTGATTGCTCTGTAGCTTACATTAAATGTTGTGCATATTGAAACCAGTATATAAAAATGACTAGAGCTGAACTCCCTCTTCTTACCCTCTATTCTGTTAATAAAACTTGGGTGAGCTTTGGTGAGATGACAAAAATGACATGAAATACCTGCTATTTGAAAATGAAGATAAATGTACAGCATCTGTTTCAACAATAAAATTTTCTTTCATAAAATTTAGCTGTTTTTTTTTTTTTTAGAATAAAAAGCAGTTAAAAAAAGAGTCAAGGTAAAAAGTCAAAGAACAAGAAAAGGCGGAAGAAAAATGACGCTTTTGAATATCTGTACTCCTTCCCTATTTAAAACAGCTCAGCACTGGTTTTGGGTGCTCTACAGTACAAGCAAGGGCACTGCATGTGCATCCTGAAGAGGCAGCTCCTGAAGAGAGGCCGTGAATGCGACCTGCTCTCTGTGAGCCTGACCATCATGCAGGCTGCCTTCGCAGGCCTTGTGGAGAGGCCACTCAGATGTGCCTGGCAGGGTGCTAGTCAAGCAGGTCTGAGAACACGAAGCACCACGTATTCCAAAGGGACACACATTTCCAGGCTCATTGCTCAATAGCCATTTGGTGTCCAAAGGTAACATAACATATAGTACAAATACAATTACTCTTTTATTTCACTCTTAAATGTATCATTCCTGGTTACCTCTTCACTCAGTGATTTTTCTCATGGCTGTTGCTGCTTCTGTAAAATGCTGTATGATTCTCTGCTGGCACATGAATAAAAATGGGATCAAAATATCTGAACAGCAAACTCTTCCTGAAATTGACACCCCTTCTCAGGTCCTCTTTATAGAGTTTCTATCTATTTTACAGGGTTTCTCCCTAGGGTTTTCTAGGCTTATTGGACCTGTCGATACTGTTTTTTATTATTATAAAATATCCCTTCTGAAAAACATTTGTAGTGCTCTGTAATAATTAATGCTACTATTGCTACTATGCTACTATTAATGATACTGCACCTCGAAGTGCTACTGCCACACTGTTTTCAGAATATGTATAGGTGCATATGTGCATGTGTGTCTGTGTCTATATACATCACTATAAACAGTCTGAGATGTTCCAAGTAGGTATCTCATAATTTTTAAAAAAAGATCATCAAACCACAATGTCAGATCTATTGCCTGAAATAACCTCCTATCCAGACCTTTGGACTTCCTGAAAAACTGTTTTGCCAAAATAGCAGTTAGTTCCTCCTCCTAGTTAGTTTCCTCCAAAATATCCCCAAAGAATGAAGAAACAAAGCAGAATTTATCAATCAGTCCTTGAGGCTGAGAAACACAGAATCTACTACAGTAGGCTTAGTGCATTTAATACTTTAAACTAATTTTATGCTTTAAAACCCTTTTCCATCTGTCTTGATCTTCCTCACAAGAATAAAACTGTCTGAGAATATTTGCTCACTGTTCGTATCAGCCCCAAAACGAGGACTATATACTCTACTCAGTTGTCATAGAGATGACATGCATGAAATATGGTTCTCAATCTAAGCAGAAAGTAACCATTGGATTTTGTTTTAGGACGAATAAGGACAAGATATGAAACAGTTGCATATAGAGGATTAGCTACGGCAGATTGAAGGTCACTCACTGTCATAATCTTAATTTTCTGTACGTAAATTCCATCATGAGGTCTACTGAGAGGCCTCACTGAGGCACCGGAAACTGAGCGAATGTGGCCCTATTTCCAGGAGAAGTAACTTGGACATTGCTTTGTTGGAAAATGTGGTTCTCAGAAGCTGCGAATTGAGATCAAAGTTGCTAAACAGAGCGAGGAAGAACAAACAAAACACATAAGGGGAAAATGAATAGAAAGAGAATAGAAAACCAATTTTAAAAGGAAAAGTAAACACTAATGATGATGCAGTGAGAAAATGTATAGTTAGGTAAATTCTTCAGACAATAATAAAAAGATCAAGTAATAAGTTTAAAGGCTTTTAGTGCTTTAAGACCATTCAAAAAATCTATTTTTTTTGTTAATTTCATAAATGTCTTACCTCCTGCATACATGACAGCCAGCATTATGGATGATATCCAAGCTATCTCACTATATGATGTGTGGAAGATTTCCTGTATTTCTTTGAAGAATACTGTGATGGCTTTGGGGAATGCATAGGAAAATCCGATGGAAATAAAAGCCCCAAAGACTACAACCCATCCCCAACCTCCATCTGGAGGTGGGTACTGCGGCGCTGTTACTGCTGGTGGCATTTTCAGTCTAGATCTCCTTTCCAAAGGGTCTGAAAAAGAAGAGCAGAAATAGTGTTTCAGACAATTTTCCTTTTTCCTATATCAAACTTTTTTATTCAGTCATCAGCCTCATGGATTAAAAAAGAATATTCAGAGCCCCAAACCAACTACAGAATGTGAATGCCTGCTACAAAATAAAATCTGGCCACAAAACAAGTTTATGTGGCAAAAATCCTTCAAATGTCCTATTCTGTATAACTATTCCATATAATTGATTTCAGTCACTGAAATTGTATTTTGCAATTAATCATTTATTGGAAAGTGACACATTTGTGTGTATAAATTTATGTAGCTCTATTGTCTTCAATGTGGATTTAGCAAAAAAATGACAAAAAGTCACTGTTTACTGATTTACTAATCCTAGATGTTGTTTTATTTGCAACATTTAGAAGTACCTCAGCAAAATCATCAACAAGGAGTTTCTGACAGTGATTTTATCATGTGCTATCGGTATCCAGTTGTCGATCACTGTTGAAAGTTCTTTCTTTTCTCATGACAAAAAAAATTAAAAGCAAGTTTTACATTGAGATTTAAAATGACCTGTTTCTCTATAATATAAGTTACAAAAATTACAATTCTGTACTGTACCCATATTCTTAAAATTTCAGTTGGCATATTGATTTATGTTGATATTGCTTGTAGAAACAAGGAAGAGACTGATAGTACTATTTTTACTCTATTTTTCACACATTAAATTATGTCAGGAAATCATTCACCAATTACCTTACAAACTTTTAACAGCTTTCTTCTAATTTGTAATTTGCTATATCAGGGGCCTCCTAAGCGATATCCTACACACCTGCTGAGAGATGCAAGCAAGAATTTCAGGGAGAACAAGAAACGATAGGAAATTCACATAAAACTCCTGAAACTAGTTTTAGTTTTAGACTTTTATTATCATTCTGACATCTAAAACCTTAAGCTTACTATATTCTGCATTACCTTTTTAGAAAAGCTCTAGTAGAGAGAATATACTTCGTAATTCTGAGATTGTTCCACTATAAGATCCTCTTACTCTGCAAATGCAAAGCTGGTGTCCACTTGTGCTTTACTCTGTGCATTGCAGTCTACACAGGCACTAGGAACTCATAATATCACTGTCCTCTCTACTTCTTTCCTGAGATTTTTTGGCACCTCATTGCACTCGACTGGTCAGCTGCTATGCCCGTATCCAAATTTGTGGACCTTAACAGGAGGTGTTAAGTAGGTGGGTTTCCATTATGCTTATGCTTACCAGAGAATCTCCATGTGATTTTTTTCCATGCCACTTATGGCACATTCCAATTTGTCATCATGAACTGCATTAGTTTTGGGAGTGATAGGATTACCTTAACAAAAAACTAAAATATTAAGTGTCAGTTTATATTAAACGCTCAGGAATATGCCTGCAGTACTCTCAGGGTAAATGGCATGTAGCACTGCATATAATTTATACTACAAAACTAACAAAGTGTTCCTTTTAAGATTAACTGTCACTAGGTAAGCCTGTGATAGAAACCCACTGATTCGCCACTTTACTGAAGCTGATTGTAAACATCATCCTTATAATGACAGACCTCTATAAGGGGTTTAGTAAAGCACAAAGACCTTTTCTATAATAGGTCAAAAAGTCCAAGAAAATTTGGCTTCTGTATGATATCATGCAGATCTGCTGCTAGGAGGAATAAGTATCTGTTCCTCGGTACACAGAGAACATGAATCTTTTCATATCAATGTCAAAAAAGAACCTCCGGCCTGTATCCTGTTCCGTTAATATTGCTCCCAGCTTAATATTAGTCCACTCATGTACGTCAGTAAGGGAAAACCTGAGCCTGTCACTGGCAGAAGATGAACAAAAAGGGATAATTCTGGTTGCTTGCTTTAACGAAGGAGTTTTAAATCTTGTTTGATCTTTGCTAAATAAGGTCACATTTGAAAGAACAGAACCTCTGAAAATCTGCTGTACCTTATAACACACATACCAGCTATCAATTACTTTCACAAACACAGCTATACAAATTGTGAAAAGTAGAACAATTATTCTATGGGTTAACCAAGTGATGGTGAACAACAGAGCTTTCTGTTGACCCAGAAAAGTTACTTTGCTTAATTAAGTCTTCTTTTAGTTATTTCCTAGAAGTATGTTAACTATTATTTTCCCATATTTCAAAGATTTAAGCAGAAAGCATAAATTTAACTAATGTCAACAATATCAAATTATTGCTTTCTATTAAAAAAAAAGACCACTATCAATTTACTGAGAAAGTACTCAATTTCAAAAATATAATACATAACCACTTTGAAAAATCACTACAATCACATTAGTCTGAAGATAGTTCTTGGAGGGCTAAAACATCAGATCTTTGGGAAAACTGCTGCAGTAAAAGACTGTGTGTTAACTTACGCTAGACATTACCCTGTCACAAAGCAATGATCTGGATCACTGTATCTCACACCTCCTGTTGATCCTACAGAGAACAGTTAATAATAGCTTCCAGGATAGTCCTTTATGATCTGGATGGCCAATTTTAGGTCCAGTTAATAAAAGGTGAAAAGGGGAAAAGTAATAAATATATGTCTGCACAGAGAGAAACAAAATATTCATTATGTCAGAAATGTGAAGTAAATCCAGCATCTCAAATATCCCACACCTGCTTAGGAGCTAAAAGCAACTTTCTCCTGTTAAATCTTCATTTAATCTCCCTGAAATTGAACTCCTCCCAGAGCACAATATCTAGCACAGTAATAACCCTAAGCTTAAGCCTAACTTGTAGGATTTGAATAATAGCAGGGCCATACAGAAAAGGGCAAAAACTACTAGCAACCATAACAAAATAGCACTTTGAATGAGAGGATAAAAATGCTGGCAAGAGAAGAGATTGGAGAGAGAGAGAGAGATGAAGCATTGTCAAGTAAAATGTCTTTGTAGCTTTTCAGAGATCTGAGAGCATTTTAAGATCTGTGAAGAAAGAAAGGGATGTAATAAAAGATATAAAACAAACATTTGTGAGCTTTTCATTTTCATTTCATTTTCTTTTTTTTCCTTTTTTTTTTTTTTTTTCAGTTGAAGGGCATAGTGTCCCAGCAAGCAAAAAAAAAAAAAAAAAAAAAAAAAAACGCATTTGCGTAAATAAAGGTCACTACCAGGGTGCTTGTGTGCTTAAACAGTCATGTGAGCTCCATCATGTGCTTGGAGCTAGCAGGAGAGTACTACTCATTCCTATGCTTTTATAGGCAAGAAATGGGTGAAGAATGTGGCTTGCCATGCACACAGATAAGAAACAGGGGAATAGTGACTGAAGCTTTTTCTGAGTGAAGCCATCAATCTCAGCTCTCTCCGTCAGCTACAGGGAGATGGCTCAGCTTTTCCATACCCTGCATCAGTCTGTGCACAAGGATTCTTTCTCCTGAACTCCTTCTATTTCTCCTGTATAAATCTCATTTATGTGAGCAGGGAACACGAACACAGCTTGCTGTAATGGGATCTGCATGTATCCACTAATAAATAGTAGGAAAGAAACATGATAAGAGGACAACTGGAAAAATTTAGTAGGCAGTATTTTTATTATATAAAATAAAACACTGGAATTAAAGAGAAGAAAAAAATAAAAGAAGGAAAGAGAATGAGATAAGGAGGAAGAAGGAATGAGATAAGAAGGAAAGAAAACGATTTTAAAAAGACAAAGAAAAAGGAAAGGAAAAAAGTGAGGCAACAAAAAGAGAGATTGAAACAACAAGGTCGAACTAAAAGCAAAAGCTATAGACAAATAATGCATCTTGATAACACTCACTGTAGACTTCAGTCACTCATGATCAGCCTGTTCAAATTGCTCATGTACCAATGCTCCATTAATATTCTGGAGTTGCCAGCTGCCAAAGCCAGCTACAAATACAACAGCTTGTCAAAGAATATTCTGAAAAGGGGTTACTTTTTCTTATATAGAGATATTCTGATTTTAGCAGGAGGGTTTATTTATTTATTTTTTGCAAACCTTAGAGTGAATGTTTCCTTCCCTACTTGCATTCTATTATCTGACTTGTCCTCAATAAGACCCATGAATCCTTGACTCAGCAGCCTCCAGTCTAAGCATAAAAGTATGTGAAAAATCTGTCTGTAGTTGCTTTAGAATAGTAGGAATATTTTGCATGTGTGAAGTGTATTCCAGATCCACATAGCAAGTCAAGGACAACAAAGATCTTGGCAATTTTGAACAAATGTTTGTCTCATAATGTCCCTGTAAAATGATTCAGAATTATCATCCACTTTCAGACTTCGGAAATAAATGACTAAGTCTTGTAGCAAATCTACATCTGAGTGAACTGAGTGAACTGAGTGAACTGTGATTATGACTGAGATTTTTAAGTACATGCAGGATTTCTAAAGCTCATTAACTAACAAATGCAGATGAATTGTACTGCTTAATACCAGAGTTAGAAGCACAGGTGGAGTAGAATTTTTCTCTTTATAGGTCTGAATAGTTCTGCTGCTCTACCTAAACCTAATGAATTTTAATCACATTGCTATATTTGAAATCAATGATATGGGATAACATTAGCAAAACAATGAGCTATAGCTCAAACTTCTCAAATACAGAAGAAAAGAGCCTTTCTTAAAAGCTGAAAAAAATATATATTTTTTTATAAACAGCTTTTTAACAAGTTCCAGGGAGGATATCATTATAGTGGATATCACCAAGTAGTATTGGCTGTTGTACTTTTACCAGCTATTCTCATTACCAGCAGTCAGTATTTAAAAAGAAAATATCTTGTTAGTTCTGTGAGATGGGTTTGCTGCGGCTAGGGATTTTGTTGTGGGGAAAGAGAGAGTACAGAAAGACTCTGATTGAAGGGATCAAGAGAGTTTCTTCCCTCCTCTGATCTCTAACTACTCCGTTGTGAGGCAAAGTAGCTCCTAATGAGCACTGCTGTCCAGCCTTAAGGAACCAGCTAATTTTCCTGAAAAAGGATGATAGCAACATTTCATCTGAATGTCTATATTCAGAGACTGAGGTGTCTGCAATAAGTGAAAGCCAGGCGTATTAAAGATATACTCAGAATCTGATTGTATCTCCTCTTTGCCACTAGGGTCTAACCTGCAGGATAAACAGACTGTCTCCAAGGTCACAACTGGCAGAATGTGGGAGGTTATCTAGCATTTCAGAAAGCCACTGGTCTTTGTAGAGTTTCTGTTACTTGTTCTAGATTGACAGGGCTGTGTTCGGGAATTACTTTCCAGGCTTGTATGTGACAATAAAATATTGTCTTATATGACACGTATAGTATCTATATATTTTTACATTTATGGGACTTATCCATTATTTTTCATAAACATCTAAGCAAACCTAAAAAATAAAACAAATAAAAACAAAAATGCTCATTAGTTTTACTTAATTTAAAAACCTATTTTGCTTCAGTCCACTATAGCAAAACATCAAATAGTACTAAAATATTTTGCCACAGGAATTTTAAGTATAAAGTTCTATTGTATTCAGAAAAGACAAAGATAATTTTTTATTTTTATTTTTATTTTTTAATCTTGAAGAGGGTATGAAGGAAGTCTGCCTAAAATTCACATCTCTGAAAAAAACAGTTATTCAAACCATCAATAATTTGTACTTAAGAATCAATATCATAATATACTACTTCTTCCACAGAAGCAGTAACAAGACAAGTATGTGCTTGAAACCAGTTTGGGAAATTAATATCTCCTCAGGCATCCAAAGCAGGCATATCAATATCATTCTTCCAAATGCCTT